CTATTTAAAATAATTTTCTTGAGCCAGAATGTGCTAAAATGACCCTTTACAGGGTTAATGCAACATCACTCAGACCCCCACCGCCCTCTTTTGCCAGAATACTGCACTTGCAACTTCAGAGTATGCAGACTGTTCCGTTAGCCAATAGTAAAGTGGAGCTGACATGCCTGGCACTGGAGTCTGCTTCCAGCATGTTTTCTGCATGTTTTAAATCATGAGCACGGTTGACTTGTTTGATTTAGTGATGAATCACTCATGTAGAAACTAACAAAGGCTGAGGAGACATTTCAGCTGTTAGATTAACTTGAATATCGCAGACCATCGTCACAAAGCAACATGCGTAACCCCATAAAACAGGACAGTACGTACCAAATGAGCTGTGCTACAGTGTTGTTGTACATTCCTTCAGCCATTGTGCAAATCCTGTTTCATTTCCACCAGTTTACTGCTTGTGTTGCTATAAGCTAACCGGAAGAACACTGACATTAAAAGGGGCATGTCGCCATCTACTGTACAAGAGTGAAACAGACTTTATTTGAGAGGCTGCCCACGTAAACTAGGATAGAGACTCCCAGCTTATTACAACAACATCCACCTGGATCGACTTAGATGTCGGTCAGTGGGCATGTAACCACACTGATTCTTCCTTTATGCAAATATTTGTTTATTATTGCAACAATCCAAAACAGTTATGCTGTCCAGAAATAGCTCTACCTCTAAAGCAGGGGTGTTGAAACTCATTAAGACAACGGACAAAATTGTCAATTTAACAGGCTTTATGGGCCACAAAAACTAAATTCTTTGCATTTAAATGACATAAAATAATTTCAGTGTAAATTTTAGTTAATCTCCTCAAAATGATCCAAAATGGTTAAAATTGGGATGTACAATTTTGGAAAGTTTCACTCTAGATCATCGAGCTGCTGGACAAACAAGTTATCATGCTAGAAATGTAATTGGGGCCACAAGCAGGGTTTGAGATACGGAGAAGTTCCCAAAAAGGTGATGGGCTCCCCCAGAAGCCCTCACCTGACTCCCCCAGGGGGAGCCCAAATATATGATCCTGTTCCACCCCACCACGCTCCACTCTCTCGAAGAGAGGTGTTCAAGCACGTGACCCTGCACTCACCTCTTTCATGGACTTCTCACAGGGCTACCGTTGCTTATAGGGCTGCAAATGGCCACTGGGCCACATTCTGGTAATGCCTGCTCTAAAAGTACTGCATGCAAACGGAACGGGGACGTTAGGGCTCCTCAGCTCTCCACGGTGCTAACTAACCTGCAGCATGTAGCTATCCACATTTTTATGCGTCTGTTAGCTTTTCTTGTTCCTTATTTTCTTGCTGTTTTGTTTCTGCTCTCCCACACATGGAAGCACGTACCCTTTTAATGCCTCTGCTGGGTGTTTGACGTGGTGATTTACATCCATCAAACTGTTATTTTTCTTTAGGTGATATTTTAAACTTTGATGGCAAGAAAATTCCACCCGGCAGTAGTCAGAATTAACTTTTGTTTTATCGACTCCGCCATCTGGAGGAAATTTAATATGAAAATATAAAAGATGTGTTATGTTCTCCGGTTCATAAGAAGGCTGTACCACGATTCAAACTGTTTTATCTTACTTTTACCTTCTTTGTTTTTATCTGATCTCTCTTTATCGTTGATGTAAAGCTAATTGTGTGTCTGTTGATGCTGCCTCTTGGCCAGATCGTCGTGAATGAGAATGAGTTCTCAATCGACTCATCTGGTTAAATAAAGGTTAAATCAAATCAAATGAGTCCGTCCCTAATAATCTCATTGTTTAACCCGTGGAAAAACGTTTGTCCCAACCATTAGAGAGAAAGGTCTTAGCCCAGGGCTTGTCTGTGTTCAGAGCTGGGGTACATGAAGAGTATACTTGCTGTAGTACGTACAGGTGATGTAAAACGGCTCATTAACCTGTCCTGCAACCTTCTTCTGCACGTTAATCAACTCTGGAACACTTTCAGAAGCCTTCATCCCTCCAGTGTGATTTCACATCAGGATATATTCCATCCCTTTCATGAGTTTATAATATATGTTTAATGATTCACTATGAATTTCAATGTGCTGAACCTCTTGAATAAGCTCATAAAAATTCCATCAAGATTGTCCTGCAGCATTAATCTGCAAACCAAAGTTAGGCTGAAATTAACGGCCAAGAAATCTGAAAAGTCTGGAGGAGTTTTTAAATACTTCTACGAATCCATCTACTCGAGTCATTAACCGTATTACGTGAGTTATTGTTTAAACTGAAATAGTGGAATCCAGTTGTTTTAGACGGCACGAATGAAAAAGGCGCTGCAAAAAATGTTGGTGGGACAAGTGGTAGTTGAGGTCAGGAGGAGGAATAACTTGTTCATCATGATGAACACTTCACACCGAAGGGTTATCGATTGATCGCTCCGTCTTTTAACCTCCCTCTGTCTGAGGAGCAGTCTGAGCTCCTGCTGTGGGAACTAATCTATGTTTCCCTGCCTGAGTCTTTGCTTCTTCTCCCCTCCTTTGTCTCTCTGAGGTCCAGAACGGCGTCATTAGCAGTCGCAGCTCAGAGTGCAGCTCAGTGGAGCCCTGGGGCCGAAGCTTTGTGCTTTAATTACCCACCTAATG